TATAATTTTGGCTAGCGAACAACAACATCAGTTCAGTGAAATCTCACAAATGGGTCTGGTGAGGAATGAAGATAGCGTGTAAGCACACCTTATCCCTACTCCGGAGGAGTATAAATGCTGTTTCCGATAGACCCTCGGTACAATAAGAATAATTTTGATTAGCAAATGTAATTAATTTCATCAAATCGGCCAATTTTATATTTTGCTCTCTTTTTTAAGGATTGCTTCTAGCTTTTGTAGTTAATTTTTGGATTTAAATTTAATCTCATGTTTGAATTTGTTCATATAACTAAGTAAAGAGTTTTGAAAATATAATTAAATAAATAAAAGTGTACTCTCTCAAACAGTTAGCTTTTAAATGAGATCGTCACACATTTTATTATAGTATCAGAGAAGGCAGATATCTTGCGTTCGAGTCTCACCGCCATTCAATATCAAAAAGAATTTTCACGTGCTTAACTCATAAAAAAGAATCAAGTCCGTAAATATAATTAAATAAATAAAAATATGTGATGGATACCAACTTAACCTTTTAGATAGGTGGTCACACATTTTATCAAAGTATAATTAGACTAATATCTTAAAGTCTAATTTAAACAAAATCGTACATAACTGATTCTAGTTAACATGATACACATATATGATTAATTGATTCTTGGATTGAAAGAAAATGTAATTTCAGATGTTTGCTTTTTAGTACATTTAAAATAATCATTTTAATTTTTAACCGATATCAGACGTAAACTTCCTGTACACTTAATTGTCGAGCAAATAAAGGATCTAAATTGAATTTCAGGCTACTTTTATAATTAAGAGTATTATTGTTGTAGCCTTGATTGTCTCCCACTGATATTTATTATACGTGAAATTGGCTCTTAGTGGCATCGACCAGGTGTCATTCAATGAGAGGACCTTTGCGTCGGACTAGAGGCCGACCTATCACGTGGACCCACTTATACCCCTCCCCCCCTTAAGTGGTAGTGGGTGCTCTGTTTTCCTTCCGCTCAGTCCTCCTCCTCCATGTCTATATATACATCTCACTTACCCTTCCCATGTATCTGCTCCCAACTATTGTAGTTGAAGCGAAGTGTTTCAGTTCGCAGCCGTGGAAGTTTTATAAATAAATAGCTTCCGCTGCAGCGTTCCCTTGAAATTCTTTCGCTTCAACTCCAAGCAAAATGGCTCGCTCTTTCTCTAACTCCAAACTCATATCTGCTTTCGTCGTTGATACTGTTTCTTCCTTTGTTAGCAGGTAAATATAACCATACTTTTCCACCTTTTGTTCGGAAACGTCTAACATCTTCCCCTTTGTTCAAAAAGAAACTCAATTATATAGTTGAGGTCGTTGAATTTTCTTTAACTATTCCTAGTATATTACTCTAGTCAGGTTTATTTTATGTCTGTACACTATATATTTCACTCCGTTCAGGCTTAACTACGTTTAATGTTTATGTTAGCCCGTTTGGCCATGAATTATTTTTCACTTAATGTGTATATGAATAAAATGTTGTCCAGGCGTGGGTATGCGTCATCAGCTGGAGTGAGAGGATCAGGGGTTATTAATATTATGATGAAGAAAGGTGGGGAAGAATCAAGCAAGAGGACAACATCATGGGTGCCAGACCCAGTAACTGGTTACTACAGGCCAGAAAGTCATGCTAAAGAGATTGACGCAGCTGAGCTCCGCCAGATGCTCTTGAAGCATAAACCTAGACAGCACTGAATGGGACATGGTATGGATCAAATTAATACTCTGTATTGAATCTGGGGTTTTGGTTACTATATACCTCGTCCCATAACGCATCCGATCTAACCATTTGATCGAACGAGAGATATTATGAGTTACTGCTTTTGTTAGAAAATACGGAGCGTTCTAGCTCGTCAATGCTTCCTGTTGTTATAACTGAATTAATGTTGTATCCTGTCAGGCATCTGTGTGTTCTTGTTTATCTATGGATCATCCTTTTGGCATTTTAATAAAGTTAAATTTGTGGTATCTTTGGTTCCTGTACTGTCTAATTTGTGGAATATACTTGAGTATTATCTCTCTGATTCCGACTATTTTCCACCCTGATCTCGTCCTAATTCCCTTTTCATGTCTTTCCTTATTCTCCGCGCCCAGGAAAGTCGGTTGCTAGAAGGAAAGAACAACAAAAAGAAAAAGGAAAAAAAACATATGAAGAATTGGTGGGCGTTTGTACATAAGAATTGTACATGTAAATAAAAATGATATTTTAAATTTAGAATTAGTGTTTGGATAAAAATAGTATTTGGAACTATTTTTGAATTTTACTGAGTGATTTGAAATGAAAAATTTGAAAAATATCTTTTTGGAGTTTTTAAAAAATTTAAAACTTCGGAATTTGAAATTTTCATGGTCAAACACTGATTTAAGGAAAAAAACGAAAAAATTTCAAAAAAAGTATAATTTTATATGGCCAAACGGCCCTTAATATAAATGAAAGTAATATTATAGTATTTTTTTAGTGTTAGAGCTGGTAACTGGTAAATGCATAGAAAAAAGAAAAAGAATTAAAAAGATCAAGCATAACGCGAGCATTCGTCTAAACTTAAATCTTTGGCTACTGCTATTCTAATTCCACTTATTTTATGGTGGATGGCTTCATCTTCAACTTCAGAAAATGCTAGATAAGGGCGGTGATGCTATATATTATTGTATACCTATTAATCTAATTAATTAAGGCTGTGACAATGGAATTGGAGCACTTTTATGAAAAGCAAACGGCTGGAGTGTTACTGTTGCTTAAAGGTGAAGGCTGTAGGGAACAAGGAAGTATTCTCTTGGTCTAATGTTGGTCCAATTATATGTCAACCACAAGGTCTGAAACTTTGAAATTGGTCCTCGTTTGGTGCCAGAAAGAATTAGTGAAGAATGATGAAAAGCATTTCTCGTGGAGAGAACTGCACGAGCGTATTTGGACGAGTAATAATTGAAAATGAAAAGGAAGAGGAATTATAACCTGTTTGACAATTTTTTTTTTTTTTGGGCAGAAGTGTTGTTTTTGGCCAAAAATTGAGGTGTTTGGCCAAACTTTTAAAAGAAAAAAAAAGTGCTTTTAAGGAGAAGCAGAAGCATTAAAATGTAACTTCTTTTCAAAAGTACTTTTCTAAGAAATATTTTTGAGAAAAATACATTTAGAAATAATTTTTAAAAGCTTGGCCAAACACTAATTAATGCTCACAACTGCTTTTTAAATTAATTAACCAAACACAAACTGATTCTCACCAAAAAATACTTTTTTGAAAAACACTTTTGAAAAACACTTATCAAATTAGCAGATTTTAGAAGTTTGGCCAAACAAGCTGTTTAAGTGGGTTATACTGGATCCAATATTTTGGCTAACGCTACACTTTTAACCTAAAAACAGACGGATCCAACTGTACTAAGGCAAAATTCAAACGGAGGAGGATTAATTCATTTTTGGCTGGTCAAACATCCAGTTGATCGAAGAGTATATCGAAAATAACTTCTCTGCCCTTCCAGCGTAGGGATAAAATTGCGTACATCTTACCTTTTCCAAACTTCATTTGTGAAAAATTAATGGACTTGTTGGCTGGTCGAACATATAAAGTACGTCGCAGAGAAATGGGACTGCACTCTTTTCGCTTCCATATAGTAACTAAATTGAGACATCTTAAATAGAGGATGCCCTGCTAAAGATATGTAGATACAGGAAAGGGAATTTTTTATATTATGTACATCGTCAGTCATCTTTACATATATATTGTGACAGATAATTTGTCTTCCTTTTTTTTTTTTTTTTTCAAAATTATAAATCTTGCATTTTAAGAAGGGTTCCATGTATATATACTTTGGACTTGATAGTACAAAGATATTTTTTCACTAATAATATATACTACTCCTATAACTTAAGCTCCGAGAATTTTTGTGCTTGGAATTGTATATTCAACTTCAATTTTAACCTTTATTACAGCAAGAAGGAAGCTAGCTTATAGTCATTGTGCCATCTGAGCTAACAAAGATTAAACTGAACAACAGCAATAAACAATACAGTAGAAAGGGATTACTAATTAATTTAAGAGGAAGAAGTGAACTTGCGGATACTTTTTCCTCCTGAATTCACACAGTCAAACCCACATCCACACTGGGGAGACTCATAGAAGTTATCAATGGGAAAGTCAGCTGAAATAATCCCAACGGTAAAATCAAGCTCGTCATCTACACGAGCGACTTCCCCAATGTTGACCCAGAAGAAAAGAAGCTTCACCTGAACGCCACTCAAGTTGCTGAGCTTATCCTCAGAAAGTGTTCCAGTTAATTTGGACTTGTACTGGAGGCTGTAGCTCTCGATTTCGAAACTGCATGTCTTGTTGAAGTATACGGCGAACTTGCCGGTGCTGTTGTCGAATTCGTAGCTAGTCACGCCCGTCGGGAGTATACCCACCGGAAAGTCGTATTCCTCCAGAATTTCATATGCTGTTGGCAAATCGTCGCTGCCCACTGCCGCTGAAAAGAGGACCAAGAAGAAAATGCATAAGCAATGAACTAATGAAGAAGGCATATTAGGGGTTAGTTATAAGCTATCTCGAGTGCGTCTGATATCTGAAATAATTACTTTGACGAAGAAGAGGATGTCGTTTAAGGATACGAGATAGTGGTAGTTGGAGAGTTACATTTGAGGAGCAGAGGCGTTTGACAGTTGGGTTCTTTTTGTGAGTTTAGGTACTCCTTTCAAGCTTTAAAGTAAGTGCGACAAGTGGGCCGGTCCAGGTCCGGGATTGCGGGTTAAACGGGCCAGAATCGTTTGATCCGATTTTAATGGGCCTGGATCGATCCTATGATTTGGACCCGTCAGATCCGAGACTGTTTAGCCCGCTAGAGCCCGGGATCGGTCCGGTTCCTTAACGGGTCAAACGGTCCCAACGGCTATTTTTTTTTAAAAGAAGATTTTTTTTTTAATATAGCTGTTGGGCTGTCAAAAATAGCCGTTGCTATTTATAAAATAGCCATTTATCCCCCTCTCTCAACTTTGTTTTAATACCAAACTTTTTATAATTACACTTTTTCCCTATTTTCAACTATAAATA